GATGACACCGTCCAACCATCTCATCCTCTGTCGTCCCCTTCTCCTTTTGCCTTCACATTTTCCCAACATCAGGGTCTTTTCCAGGGAGTCTCCTCTTCTCATGAGATGTAATCACTTCTTAGCTAGCAGATAAAAAGTTCACAGTGTGGTTCTTGGTGGTACAGGTGCACACAACAAGTGTGTGTGCACCCCCTCTCAAGAATCATAACTAGGACACTTTATTTGCCAGCTAGGAATGGACTGGAAATTACACACTTGCTTACACTGCGCAACAGCATTTTAGCCACTGTGCTGAGTCACTGGTTCAACACAGTGGTTTGTTTATTCTAGTGTAATAGACACTGACCAGCAGTGTTTCAAGTGGGTGGTGGGGATTCCAGAGCCAGCAGGAAATACTGGAATCAAAACCTGGGACCCGGAATGTTCAAAGCACATGTTCTCTCATTGATCTACAATCTATGAGATTGTAGTTTTAGCTAAATGAGTGATACATTGTCTGGATAGCACTCTGGTGGTTTTGTTGCACATGCAATGACAATAAAGTGTTATTCTATTCTAATAAGTGCTAGGAATCTTCTGACTAGTTACAAACTTATATGTAAACTAATCACAGTTAATGTTAACTATAACTCTTGGTTCAGAAATAAAAAGCTAAGATTAATTCAGATTCAAATGAAATGCTAAAGGAAATGCATATCCCTCACATAAAACTGACACATTTTCACAGTCACAATGGGATTCCTGAGATATACACCTCATCAATCAAACTTGCAAATTAAGCCTATGTTTACCTCCCAATGACCAATTACAAAAACTTAAGTGCAAGATCACATGCTACGGAAAAGAGCCTTCACTAAACACATGGGGCAGTTACTATGATGAAATCCGATAAACATTTTGGTTTGATTCTAAATACAGAAGATTCTGGTCTCTTCCTCTTGGTCATATAGCAGAAAGGGAATGTACAATTCCAGGAGAAGTTTAAGCCTATTTGTATAAGCAAGAACCATGATTTAGTATGATGTCCAGTTTTGGTAATTTCCTATAGGAGGAAGAGCATCATCCATGTACCTCTTAAACATTAAAGAAATATCTTGGTTCTCACTGAGTTAGCTATAAATCAGAAATTGTTTTATTTCCAATTTATTTATTATTTTACATTAATAAACAGTACTTTTAAAAAAAATCAATTATCTAATACATTTCAATATTTCTTATTATTCTTAGCACTGTATTCCCTTGCAACAATTCACAGGAATGCGCAAAACACTGCCTAGAAAGAAGACCAAAAAATCTTACGCTACTTTCTCTACTGGTTTATATTCTATTCCATAGAACATGTTATATATAACTGATATGCAAAAGTTATCCCAATCCTAAAGATATGCACATGTCTATTGATTTCAAATGGAAATCAATAGATAAATATCCCACACTCCATTTATTGCAACATATGTCATATTTCCTACGTATGTATAAAGACAGGTCCAGAAATAACCCACTTACATGAATTTATCACTTTATTTAATAACAAGCCCAAGGCTAGTTATTAGAGCTTGATACAAGAAGGGAGGGATAGTGTCTTGGCCCAAAATCTACAAAAACCACCAAACCACATTGTGACTCACCACACTTACTCCCTGATGATAAGAAGCTGCACTCACCTCGCTTCCTACAACTATGTTCCACGTGTCTGCTAATACTCATAAAAACAGGTACTGTATGTATGGAAAGGGCCACATGTGTTACCTGTTGATGGAGACAGAGTCATCTACAGTTAAATGTGCAGAGCACAACGTTGGCTTGAAGTGTATAACTTGTCCTTCATGAAAAAAAAAAGCAAAGGACTACCACTAGGGACTCTTTGGAACAGATACAGGCCCTGTTCCTAGTTCCTGATTATTCCAATCGGTAAACATCAACAATTGACCAGTACATACTAGGGAAGTAAATCTCTGCTTATTTCATTTGTGCAGGTGGAAACAATTACTGTATTGTCCTGAGTACAGGCTGCACTTTCCCCCCTAATGTAAGTCTTTAAACTAGGTGTGAGTCCTACAATCAGGATGTTGTGAATTTATTTTTTAAAATAGCACCAAACTTTAAGGGTGCAGCTTCTAATCAGGAGCAGCCTATACTCAGAACAATACGGTATTTCAGAAATTTGCTTTCCACTGAACAAAATTACAGCATTTTTGTGATTCATTTATTTTGCATTTCAGCATTTTTATATTGGCAAAAAAAATCATGGATTTTGTCCCGCAAAATCATACTTAGAACTAAAAACCTTATACTTTGCAAAAACAAAACAAAAAAGCATTGTATTTTGTACAAAACCCAAGTTTTAAAACATGAAACACAACGTATTTGGACACACGAAAAGATGTTTTACCATATATACTTGAGTATAAGCCGACCCGAATATAAGCCGAGGCACCCAATTTTACCACAAAAAACTGGGAAAACTTAATGACTTGAGTATAAGCTGAGGGTGGAAAATGCAGCAGCTACTGGTAAATTTCAAAAATAAAAATAGATACCAATAAAATTACATTAATTGAGGCATCAGTAGGTTAAATGTTTTTGAAGATGCTGCCCTTCTGAGCTGCAAGACACACTTCACTGCCTGTGGAGGGAGGACTCATACTGGATGCTGCGCTTATCTACTGCTCTACTGCTCCGTAACAAGATGGAGGGAGACAGAGGAGGAAGGTGGGAGGAGGAAGGTGGGTACATAGAATATGCAGAAAGAGGAGAATGGGAGTGTCCTGGAAGCGGAAATGCAGTGTACTTAACCTGTGTCATTGGACCACCCACAGAGGTTGCAAGCGCCTGTAGATGAGTGGGGGAGTCTGGAGAACACCCACACTGCAAGGAAGAACATGTAATTTTGACACTGACTCGAGTATAAGCCAAGGGGATGCTTTTTCAGCACAAAAAGTGCTGAAAAACTAGGCTTATACTGTAGTATATACAGATATACAGTATTTATTTTGCCAAAGCTGCTTCTGACTGAAGAAGTGTGAAGAACCCGAAGAGGGTTCTTTTGTGAAGGAGAAAATTGTTTTGCACCAGTTGACTATTTTCTGACAATGTATCTTGATGCATCTAGACACTTTCCCATTAAAAAGATGAGAAAATCTGAAATGATTCATTACATCCTTACTATGTACCCACCTGCTGGCATAATTTATCTTCTGAATAGATAGATATACAGCCACTTACACATTGATGTAATTTACATTGCCAAAATAAAGAAGTACAAGATCTTCAAGTTCTATAGCCAAGAGTAAAACTTACAAGACTGACTTAGACACAGACTTGTTTGCCCTTCAGTTCCCTAAAGAGCACAGAAACTGTTTCTACATGAACAAAAGTAAACAGTCAGATATTTACATAAAGGTGATTAGGGATTATGCACACTTTAAAATTGTACTGCTTATTCATACTGAGTTCCCCAGCACCCAGGAGTACGATGATCACTCAAGTAACATGAGTATATCTCAAAGTCCCCCGTTTTCTAGAAAAGCTTTATCCTCTCTATGGTGAACACACACAATGTAGGAAAAAGAGAAACAAGATTACTTTAGTATGTTCATATAAATAAATAGTTAGGAGCAGAACTAAAGAATGTTCAAAGCAATGTTTACAGCTTTCCTTTCACCTCATTTTCCCTTTCACAGGAAGCCCAAAATATACATTTAAACCCATGGTGTCAAGTTGTTGAAGTGAAACATCATGACAACTCGAGATGGGGATATTTGTATTCATATATGAATACACATATCCCTGCGCAGCTGGACCTAACAATGGTCCAGCTCCCTGCCGGGGCACCTGTTCACTCATTCTTCCTGCTCAGCTGGCCACTCCAGGCAGGGGGCAGGAGGACAAATCTCCCTGCACAGTTGCTAAGTGGCCAGCCAGGTAGGAAGAGAGGGGAGCTCTGGATGCCATTGGAAGAATGAGTGGGATCGGCACTGCAGCAGGACGCATGAGTGGACGGTTGGATCCCTGGGATCAGGCCCTCATTAGATCCAGCTACTCACACACAAATACAAATATCCCTATCTGTAATGACAACCCTTGCAAGATGAATTCAAGAGGATTCAATTGCACTTAAAGATGTTTTCGATGTTCTCTTTTGCATGTTTCAATGTTAGGAACAGTAGCTGTTACAATATTATACCAATATCACTCACCCTCTTGAAATTAGAATACCCAGCATTGTCCTTCCATAATAAACACATGAAGCTCCCAATAAAGTACATGGCTGCCTCCATCTCTGAAACAATGTTTAAGAAAATGCCCTAGCCCCAATTTAGCATACCCCAAAAACTCTCATCAGCATATCAATCACTAATAAATTAAGAAGGTATTCTTAGTTAATATTCTTTGATTCATTATGAGATTAGGAGTATTACATTTTTGTTGGTTTTATATAAATGTGGTTTCATGTTACATAAACCATCGCAAGTAGTGGTCTCACTAAATCAGGTGGTATATAAGCTTCATAAGTAAATAAACAAATATCATACAGATGTACTACTTAAGAAAGCCATAATTGGCCCAAACGTCCTACAGAGTCCACCTAGTATTGCCTCTGCATATAATCTGAAATGGCATCAAGTGCATCCTAAAATAGCCAACTTGTGTATCCCTAGACAAGCAGCACAGTCTGAGGGCACCCTGAGGAGGGAATAATAAACCTGTGTAACTTCTACCTAGAAAATGATGGAAAAGGTTGTCAGAAGTCAGAACCGACTTGGCCGCATGCAATTATTATTATTATTATCAAAGACTGAGACAAGAAAGTACAGATTCCCACTTTTAAAAGGAGGCCTGCATAATGTGCAAACTTACACACACAAAAGTGCTAAACATTTCACCAAAATATTCTAATGTATGCCACTGTAACACTGCCACCTTATACAGTATACACTTCAGCTAAACAAGAAAACAAACCCAGGCTCAGACTATAAAAGCAGGAAATGAATACCCACCCAAAGTAATAATAGTATTCAGCATTTGTGCGGTGCTTCACAACTATCACGTCAGGCTGGTTCGTGTTGGTATTATTCTGTATATATAAGGTGGAAGCGAGGAAAAAACACTTCCCAGATGCCAATCCACCTCACCGAAAGCAGCCTCCATTCTCCACCCTGATACTGTACAAAGCAACAGCAGCAGTAGCTTGACAAAAACTCCAGGAGCAGGAGTCACTGCTGCTCCATCTTTACCACACAACAACAACAAAAACCCCACAAAATGTGGGTGAGCAAGTACCTCTGCCCCTCGTTTCACCTTACTACCACCATCACTACCACCCCATCCCTACCTCTGACCCCATTCACGTCCCTTCCACTGCCCCCAATTCCCCCCTATTTTAAATCCCTCTAACTCCTCCCATTCTTCTTCTTCTCCTGCTCCACAAAGGAGTCCGTCCAGAAGCTGGACTTGGTTGGGTCTCCCCCACTCCTCCTCTCGCTTCTTCCCTCACGGCAGCAAATGTCCTCTGTTTCAACATTAATGGGGGATTTGGCTCCCATTTCACTCCCCAACTTCTCCTGTTTCCTCAACAACAACCCCGGGCTTTGGAAAACCCCCGCCAGCGCCTCAACACACTTCTGCGCCTGGACCTCCTCCTCCTCCTCCGGTTCTTCTCTCGCCCTCGCCCTCTCCACCCCCACCACACCACTTCTGTGAGGGGGGGGAAAGAAAACCCACCCCAGCCCTTCTTCAAAAGCCCTAATAATCCAACTCCTTTCTCTATGGGAGATAAGCAGGCACTGAGATACACACACACACACCTCCACAAGCAGAGAAACACACCCACCCACCCACCCATCCCGTTTCCCAAGCCCCTCAGCTTTCCTTCCCCGCAGTTTAGGGGCTGGTGGGAGGAAGGAAGGAAGGAAGAAAAAAAGGAAGGAAGGAAGGAAGAAAAAGAGGAGAAAGAAAGAAAGAAAGAAAGAAAGAAAGAAAGAAAGAAAGAAAGAAAGAAAGAAAGAAAGAAAGAAAAAAGAAAAAGAAGAGGAAGAAAGAAAGAAAGAAAGAAAGAAAGAAAGAAAGAAAGAAAGAAAGAAAGAAAGAAAGAAAGAAAGAAAGAAAGAAAGAAAGAACACAAAACCCCGAAGCTGAGAAGAAAGAAAGAAAGAAAAAGAGGGGAAGGAAGGGCGGAGGCCCTGATCCTCAAGGCCCACCCCCCCCCCCGCACGGGCGCGCTCGCTAGGCCCGGCGGCGGCAATGGGACGGAGGCAGGGAGGGACGGCCGAGCGGGGCTGGGGCTAGCGAGAGCCGCCTCCCTCCAACTCCCCGGACGACCCCCGGCGACA